CATGACCCTTGCCGCACTTTCCACCAAGTGCGGCCCTTTTGGCTCCCTGATTTGGGATCAGCGGGCTTGACCCGCTTGGCTGCCGGCTGTAAATGTGCCGGTCGCCGATCCCTCCCATGAGACTCAGCCTCCTCCCTAGCCTGGGTCTCCAGCTTGATCTACCTCTTCCGGGCATTTGCCTGCAGCTCAGCAAATGTCCGGTATGAGGAGTTCGCCACGAACTCCCAAATGTATCGTCTCAAGATACTCAAATACCGACTCATACGTGCCTGCTCAGTGGACACGTGCTCAAGGCAGAACATCGCCCTCTCGTGAAACATCCTGGTAATCACCATAACAGACTCAGTGCCCTGCTTGAGGGTCAGAAACTCCTGGGCCAAACGCTCTCTCTCCACCTGGGGAACGTACTCGTCTCGGAACATGGTAGTGAACCTCTCCCAGGTCACTGCCGCAAGCTTAGCAGGCGAAAAGTGTGTTGTGACAAACTTCCACCAGTCTTTCGCTCCTAAGCGAAGCTGGTTCATCGCGAACCGTACTCTCAAATGCTCAGGAGATGAGAAAGTGAAGAAACACCCCTCTATGTCAGAAATCCATCTCATAGCCGCCACCGGGTCCTGGGTCCCATCAAACTCCGATGGTTTCGTGTTGCTGAACTCCCGGAACAGCAACGCGTCACCACCCTGCGGCCTAGCAGTAGCAACAGCTGTAGTGGCCGCCGCAACCGCAGCCTCAGAAAGAGCGGCATAACGCTCGTCGAAGGTCTCGATCAGCGCGGTCTTAATAGACCCGAACATCTCTGGTATCTCTGCCCTGATGAGCGCAGCCACCTCCTCATGAATGATCTGTCGGATCTCCTCATCACCAGCCCCGACACCCTCCGGCATATGACGTGTCCTCACCATGATCAACCTCTGAAATACAACATACGATAAATTAGAATCCGCTCGAGCATACTCACACTCGACAACCCATCTATGACAAACATCGAGTCACCTTTCGCTACCAATGTCATCCCCAAATTAGTGTGCCGGTTAACCACACACGCTCCACTAACGTTTGACAAGGGTACGAAGTGTAATTCCATGGGTTAGCATA